CACCGGCGCAAACTACTGGAACTTAATAAACTTTCCAAGAGCGAGTAAAAATAGTTTGCTGTTTACAAACGTGTGAAAAGTTTGTTGTTGGGATAAAGAACATAAAAATATAAAATTATGATTAATACTAATGTATAAATAATAAATACAGGTACAATATATTTTTCTTTACATTTATGCATAAAATAAAGACCTGTATAGCTGTGCAGAAATAGTAGCATCCAAAAATGCTTGCGATCTTGTGTCTAACATAGAAAATCAATTGAAACACATCTGAACACTAGACAAACTCATAGTGTCAGTCATAGTGAGGGTGTTTTGTGTTTTGGTTGTTGCATTTTGTAATCTAATTTTTACTGTGAATTTTGAGTTTTGCTTTCAGTTTGCTGTGTTTCACCTGTGTGTCCCAATTAAATCCCTGTGCTCATTCCTTCCGGTAGTCAGTGAGTGTTTAGTCCCTAGTTCCTGTCGTTGCCTCCTGTACATTTCAGTTTTTGTATCCTGGACGATCTTAGATTTGCTTTTATTAAGTGTAAAACTGGCTCTGTAGCAGGGGCGTAAGAACAGGCCTCACACACAGTTTGGCCAAACGTTTGGACGTGCCTGACAAAGGCCCATGCTCATCTGTAAATAAAAAAACTGGTGTATGCAAGCACAGTGTGTGAGAATACTTTCCTTTTCAGGATGCATGCTTTTATGAAAATACTTTGATTTTCAGAATCAGAATCAGAATAATTTCTTTGCAATGTAAGTACCAAGAAACAGTCAAAAGTGAAGAGGTAGAGAATAGAGTAAGGAATAGTAAGAATCAGCATACATTTCTAAGATATAAAAACAGTCCATGTGCCGGGTGAGAGGGGTCGACCAGCCCGGCCTCAAGCTCAGGTGTCGTACAGGTCCTGCAGCGATGGGAGGCTGCGGCTGATCAGCCTCTCTGCAGAGCGCGTGATGTCGTCCCTGACTGTGGCTCCAGCGAACCACACGGTGATGGAGGAGGTGAGGATGGACTTGATGATGGCCGTGTTGAACTGCTACAACATTTTTAGTTCATTTGAAATTGTCACACAAACGGCATAATAAGATTATGCTAATTATACGTTAATTGATAATAAAACCATTACTTAAACTTAAATGGTAAAACAGTAATAACAAATATTCTCTATCATGTTTCTACACTTTACCCTAAATGTAGAATTTCTGGTGGATCGTAGTTGTCAAATTCGGGATCAGGGAACCAATTTCTAGATCTTTTTTTAAATTTTCAAACAAGACAGAAGGCTCTGAAGTAAGCCGCCCAGACACAAGCAGAAATATGCAAACTCAGCACAGAAAGCCACGGCGGTACAAGAGGAAAACCAGACTCCTTACTGTGAGTTAAGTGTGCACTGTGCTGCCTGTGTGTCGAGCATGTGTTGTAGGGACCTGGGATTGCCAAAGCAGAAAGAAGATACGAGTGTAAAACGATGTCGGACACATATTTGTCCTCTGAGAGATACAGTAGGAGTGACCTCTGTTTGTGTAAGTGCAGTGAAATCAGTGTTGGCGCTGGTAGTGGATGATGATGACAGGTCATGAGGAGGCGAGAAAGGCCACACTCCAGAGTGGCTCGGAGATTCCCAGTGCCTCCCCTTTCCTGCAGTCTAATCCTGGACCTCCAGACGCCCTCCTCATAATGACACGGCTATCAAAGCCAATTGCTGTGGCTCAGACCCAAGGCGTTGCATTAAAGCCCTCAGCGTCTGATTGCTCCTCCAGAGTCAAGTGTTCGTGTCCTTCGTGTCATTCGGCCTGACCACCATCATCGCAGCCACCAAGTTGTAACAGAGTCTTCACACACACAGGCTGTTGACTGTGCTCACAAGTGCCAATGACCCTGGAGTAAAGCCAGGAATGCATAAGAGGGCAAAAAAATGCAAATTGTTTTTCTTTTTTTGTGGGCAGAATACTGTGTGGTATCTGAGTGGTGGTCATTTTCAGGTGAGATGGTTATGTTAAACAGAATATCATGATGGTATAGTTCCAACGGGATATTAACTTGACACATGTTCTATTAGATTACATGGTATGACGTTATTTCATGTTTTAATTAGTGCTGTCCAAAATATCGCGTTATTAACGCGTTAACGCAAATCAATATTAACGCCGTCATTTTTTTTATCGCGCGATTATTTTTTTTTATTATTATTAAAAAAAAAAAAAAAAAAAAAAAAAATTTTTTTTTTACTTTTTATTGCAGACAAACACATATACAGAAAAAAAAATAGAAACAAAGAAAAGGACTAGTTCAGATACATTGTAGACAGAGATTACAAACAATATGTAGTTGGAGATACAGGGGGCCAAAGAAGAAACCCAGAAGGCCACATAGGAGGGGGGGGGGGTCATGAAGTGGGAGATGGGGGGGAGGGGTTAATAAAAAAAGGCAATACAAGCAAACAGTATACAGTCATAGATATACCGAAAGTAAACAGAGAAACAGCATAGAGTATTTACATGAACACATTTACAAAATATTTACAGATTGTTTATCATCATCATAATGACACCATGATGTTTCTATACAGTCTATGGTCTATACCCACACATACACACACCCACACACACACACACCCACACCCATAAACACACACACTCCACACTCACACACACACACATTGAAGGGGCTTTTTGTTACCAATTATTTATTTTGTCATCCATTTATTGATGGATTTTGCATCAAATGTTAGTGTGTAATATAACACTACACATTGTTTTCAATAAAAAAAAGCAATTGCACACAGCACGCAAATGTGTGACTAATTTGTGATTAATCGCGAGTTAACTATGAAATTCATGCGATTAATCGCGATTAAATATTTTAATCGTTGGACAGCACTAGTTTTAATTATATGATAGTTTTATGTTAAAATGAATAAAATAAAATAAATATTAGTAGCAACTTTGTCGGAGTACTGGCGTGTTGCTGTGGGAAAGTGAAGTAGATAGAAATGGCGTGTCCTTTTACCGGAAGACACACGATGCTGGTGTCTATATTCCATGCAGTCGCCACAGACACAGGTTCGTGTCATTTTGGCACGTTCCAATCCTCGCTTCACAGTGGCTACACGTCAGAGAGATGTAATATGTCAGTGCACCAATGCTCCAAGTGCAAGTACATGTTAATGCCAGAAAACTGAAAGATAGTGTCTGCTTTTGGATCTTATCTAACAAGATCTCATCCTGGCTGTTTGGGGATGATGTTCATCAACCCAGGACCTCCAATATGCACTGGGATTATAGCAGTGCGTAAAGCAATTGGGATTAATATCAGAACGCTTAAATCCGAAGCAATGGTTCTTGACTGAAGAACGATGCATCGCCTTCTCCAGGTGGGTATCTGAGGGTCTTGTTCACCAGGACTCTCTATACCTGTCTCTGACTGGAGAGACAAGTAAAAGCAGTAAAGTTGTGGTAAAGAGGGAGCTTCAATTCAATCATATTTATTCTTGTACAGCCCTAGATCACAACCGTGGAATTCGCCAACACGGATCATAGAATAAAACAGAAACACATTGGTATTTGTCTAGCCTGGCCGTAGCCATCCGTACACTCCGCTGAATCATCATTTCACTGCATGTATCGTCTGGGTCTGGTCCCTGGGTTAGCGATTACAATCGCTTGAATTTCGACGGACCAACCAGCGAGCGCGGCAGGCAGGTGTTGTAGTTAGTTGTGGGTGACGTCAAGGGTTTGCGTCGAACGGGAAGGTTGCAGTTTGGCAATGGCGACAAAATGCGATAGTAAAGTAATCCAGTCTGGTTCTATCAAGAAATTGAAGCCGGAGCAATAGGAATGTTTAGCAAATGTAATCTCTAGCAAAAATTGTGGCGCTACTCCCCACCGGCTCCGTTAGCGGCGAAGGAGATTGCTAGGCCAAATGCTAAATGCTAACGACAAACTTGGGCGCATTACATACGTCACGGTAAACTCAGATCCAATCGTTTCAATCTGAAAAAGGAGTTAACCCCTCCCATTTATAAACGGAGCACAATAGAGTACCTCCAGACCTTAATACGAAAATGTAATTTGTACTATGGTGTAGTACGACCAGGCTAGTATTGGTCCATAGGGGGCACATGACCAATGTCTATCAGTGCTGATACATGTATGTCCATACATGTTGAGTGTTATGGAGAATCACCACTGTCCTTTTAGTTAGACCTCACAAGACTCACAAAACTCTAAACACAGGGGGAAAAGTGAGAAACCTCAGAGCTGAGCCAACAGACAAAGTTCTTGAGTTTATCACTCAATCAATGACATTTACACTCACCTAGGTCATAGGCTTCATGTAGTGACTGAAAGGACATCATACATACAAGTGGTCAAATAATTAAGGGTTCCTCCATCTGGTAGATAAGAACACTTAGAGAGAGTGGATAGCATCACACAGACAAGCTTGGGACTCCTTTTGGAAGGGCTCCCTGGTGAGATCTGGTGGGCACATCCTACCAGCAGGAGGCAAGACCCAGGACTATGAAGGACATTGTCTCTCATCTGGCCTGAAGCGCCTCTGTACTTCCCCAATTGAACTGGCGGAATTGTCTGTGCAGGGCAAACACTTCCAGCTCAGATTGTTGTCTCTACGGAAGTGGAAGACAACACTAAGGATATACAGTAAGTACCAGAAAGCAGGTCACCACAAACACATAGCTGATGGTTTTCGTGGGCTCATACTTGTAGTAGTAAAACTGTTTGAGATGCATTACCGCATCTAAACTGAATGTACAGTTGAGTAGAATTCCTCAAATTGATATTGGATGAAATATAGAGTAATTTTTCAATGCGGTGTCATTGCTATAAACTGCTGTTGGGTCAGGGCTCCCGAGGAAATGGCCTTCTGTGCACTCCATGTTTACCACACATCTCTGAATCCCACGAAAAGGGAAAAATAATGGAAGTGAAGAGCAAATGCGGGTAAGCATTTGTTTGTCACTGTGTTCCTTGGAGGAGGCCTGTGCATGCGTGCGTGTGGGTGGGGTGCCCCTGTGTCGCAGCATAAGATGGAGTGTGGTGTCTGAGTTTGGGCAGAAGGTGAATAACTACAGTGCTTACAGTGTAATCATGGTTCCTGTCAGGTCTATGCTGCTGCAGCCCGTGGTGGTGGAGAAAGAGGAGAGAGGAGAGGGGCCCGGCAGACTGGGGAGCAGCGCTGGTGATGAAGTATACAGGCAACCGGGGAGCGCTCCACACCTGGATATTTATTAACACAGGCCTGACAGTAATGAGGCCTGAACAGGTGGGCAGGCACCCGCACATCCCAGTCAGGAGCATCCACCAGGAGGCAGTAGAGGGGGGAGGAGGGGAGGAGAGCATCACCCGGGAATGCAAAGGCTGAAAGTTGACGCACACCCACTTGAAGAAACAGGCACACAAAACAAACACTAAGAAAATACGCAACGTTGATCAGGGCCGCTCTTTTAACTGAGATAACGGAAAAGTGACCGGCGGTGATACGAAACACAAATACATGGAACTAATTGTTTCATGGCCTTTTTCTGTTGCTGTTTTTTTACCTTACAATAATTAGAATTTGAAAATAAAGTGATAATACCAGTTCCAAACAAGTTGGCTCGATAATGTTTTCAAAGGATATTTTGCGTCATCCATGCTACTCAAATGATATTAGAACTTTGTTTGAATTTCTTTTTAAAGAAGAATTTTATGTATATTAATTTTCACTATTGCAATTAAAGAAGACTTTTTACTTTGTCTTTACAAGTTTTAGAAAATGAATTATTGGTAGAAAATGTTATTTGTAGAAAATACGAATTTAGGTTAATCATTGTTGTCTGCATGTAACTCCTTATGCTTCCACTAGAGGGAGGAGTAAAATTGCTTTTGTTTCATCAAATTCAACAAACCCCCAAAAATGTAGGGGCAATACTCAAATAAAGCACAACCTGATGGTTTCAAAGACCAATCGAATCATTTAATCATTAAAGGTTTGACACAGAAGTATCTAGACAAAAAGGGAAGAGTTATTAGTATGCATGAACTCCAGGTCTCTCTCCTTTACGGTAATTTTTTTTGCTACATTTATGACATTTTGGCTCTAAACTTGTGTGGTGTATTAACAATATGTAAGTGTCATCTTCCTCAATATCGTTACGCTCGACGTTACGTTTGAGCCGAGTAACAACGCTGAAGAGAGGGTTTTATATTACTCTCAAAACTTATTGTAGTGTCGAGAAAAAGAGGAAAAAACAAACTGTGAGGAGAAATTAGGTGAGTGAGTCATTCCTTACGGCTTGTGCAGCGATGGTGCCAGCGAAATGTGATCCAATATTCTTCTCTTGACAAATTACCAATAGTGAGGGACATTTTCCAGACCTCATTACAGCAAAGGACAGACATGTAGTCAGGTTAAGCATCCTCGCTCTTCTTTAACACAAAGGGCTGCCATGTAGTGATTACAACCTGGGTGTTTGCGTGCCCGTGTTTGCCTTGTGCCGCCCTTTTCCCTTCCAGCTCTGCACTTGCCTTATTAAGACCCTGAGTGAGTCTAATCATCACTGTCATCTGACGCTGAGCAGACGCCGCGAACAAAGGGGCGCGAGCTCACCGGCCCGGCCCGAGGTGCATTTACTGTATGTGCGGAGGCGGGGAGCACAGAGCCGAGCTGATGCAGGCTGATGGCACTTCCTGTCAACTAGCCCTCTCCCGCACTAATGGGTGGAGAAAAGGTAGAGGAGGGTGACTACGTCCAACATTTTTACGTCAAATTCACCTTAATAATTTGTCATTGCCGGTGCTGACTGACACAGACTGGAGGTGAGACAGCCGCTTGTGTGCCCACCTAAAATTGCACAAGAGGAAATTCTCTATAAGTACTCTTTTTTTTTTTTTTTTTTTACTGCGTTAAATGTTTAAAAATGGGGCCTTTCTGTGTGGAGTTTGCATGTTCTCCCCATTTCTGCGTATATAGGTTACTTTTGGAACTCTCATCCTCCTGCAACACGCTGTTGTTTAATCCAGTCACGGTGGAATGTGAACTCATGGTGAAAGCCTTAACTATCATTGCCATTTTCAGTCCTGGTTTACAACTGTTTTAAGTAAGTAAGTGCAGTTTATTTGTATAGCGCATTTCACAGACCAGGGTCACAAAGCGCTTCACACATTAAAATACATAAAATACACATACAAGTCAGATTTAAAACCAGAACACAGTTTACAGAGGCCTATGAACAGTGAGGCGAAAAGGCCCGTCTAAACAAATGCGTCTTTTGGATTTGTTTAGACGGATTGGATAAATATGTACCTGTTTTAACGTGTTTTTCACCTCTCCCTCTGACGTGCTGTGACCTGTGTGTGGTGCTGGTCACTGGTTGGGTTCTAGTACCATCCCTTGGCCATAGTGCGCATGAGTGGGCACACACAAACAGACATTCCTTGCTTTATTATATGATCAAAAACTTCTACATCCACAACTAGCCTGAGTGCTCTAAGCTAACAAGATAAAGTATATCTACAACAGCAGACCACTTTCTATTTGCATGATAAGTAAACAAATAATAAATGCAGACCAAAACACAATTTTAAAAAAGACAATTCTTACAGAAAGCGGTTTTTTTTTTTTTAGAGCAACTTATGGTATTTTACAAACTGAGATGCCATTCCTCCTCCCTGGCCACCACTGAGACAAGGCATCTGTTTTTACTTTTTGCTGCAATTTTATTTTCTGAGTCTTTGATAAGTGGATGATTCTTCAGAGTTTCACAGGTATTTTTGCAAAAAAAAGAAAGAAACAAATCCACTTCGTTTGGTGCGACAACTTTTCACATCACATAAAGGATCAGCACGGGCCGATACAGCATGACTGTGCGAGTGGACTACGGTTTATATATTTATATAGCTCAGTATTTCAAATGTGTCTTTTACATCATGAGCTGCAATTACAACGTATCTGCACTGGGAGTTTTTGTTTTGCTGAATACAACAAAAATGTGAAAAGATGAATTATTTGCAGCTAAAATGTCTTATTGCACTGCTTCTTTATGGCTTAATCTATTCTTATTACGATAGTAGTTACCTTGGATGGAGATGGAAGCCATACATTTTGAGTGCATGCAAAGTAAAACATTTGTACAGTGATATTGCAAATGTATGTAGAGAATAGAGATGAATTAAAAGCCTTTTATATTTCTGATCTACATAAAAGTATTACACATTGAATGCTTTCAGAAAACACATTTACAGTAAATAATCATGTAAAAACGCTGTCTCCAAAGCTGCCCTGTTAGCTCCCCACTCTGGGCTTTCTTGCTGAATCTTCTGGGAGCCTCTTCTCATTTCTTATGCAGACACCTGGACCAGATGACCTTGGTCTTATCAGGCACCTTCCAGATCTTGCCAAAACACGCAAGAAACGTATGATTTCATATATACGTGCTGCTGAACATACACAATGCATCCGACCTCATCCGCAGTGAAGACACATGGATCTCTTCTATCTAATCAGTTCTCCTATTTTTAGATCGGTTTAATTTCAAATGTCTGATTCAGGACTTTGGGTTAATCTACAGAGATTTGTATCTGGCAACAATGCAATAAAAGTTTAGCGCCGCTCGCTATGCAGACGAACATGGATTTAGCAGAGAATCACACATGTTCCACTTTACACATCAAGAGAAAACCACTTTCAAGAAGAAATTTGCATTGCGTCAAACCAGACAGCAGAGGAGAATAGAGCTTAGTCTATCCCCACGCATCTCCAATCCAAGATCCTATGTCTGCGGTTAATCTGGTAAACTCCAATAAATGCTCCTCAATGGAAAGGAATTAGCGAGCCAAGGCAGCACCCAAATTCCTTAAGCTCCAATATACCTCCGAGATTAATTAACTTTGCCGTTTGGGATATTATTACAGCAAGTGCTACAGAATTAAGCACGTCTTCGGCTGCTTTAAACTGCTTTTGTGGTCCGAGCAGGGAGATATACAGTATATACGTGTAATGCATTCTATTCTGACAGCACTTTTGAAAGCCATTGGAGAAACGAAGACCTTGTCCATGTTTCAGCTTTATGTTTTACGAGCTGAGATCTTTCCAATCGTCGCTCTATACTATTTTTGTTTGCGCGCAGCTGGGAGTGGAATCACGTGTGCACTAGGGGCAATTAGCAACGTGTTGTCGGATGTGCTCGCAAATTATCCTCCTGTCTGAACGAGGAGTCACACGTTTTAATGGGGTCTTTGAATGCAGCCTACAGCTTATCGGTGCTATGGGTGTTAGAGCTCTTTTCAAGCTGTGTGGGTGAAGTTGAAGATAGAACATGAGGGAAAATTGGGAAACATGTTGAGAGAGTTGAGAAGGAAAACTTATTTGTTGAATTCATCTTTTAGAGTGGACATAACTTGGCCACGTTCTTGTATCGGAACGCAGTAGTTTGTAAGTGACTTTGTTTATCCCTGTTTTTTGAGAGCGTATTGTTCATCTCCAGGAAAATACAAAGACATATTTTATGGAACAAATCCTAAAATTTTCTGAAACTAACTCTAACCCTTTTTTGCAATAAAAAAAATAACATGGAACTGGGGATCTAATCTACATTTTTAAATCTATTTTTTATTTTGTTCAAATAGTTGATTATTCTATAAAGGATGTGCATATGTTTGTTTTGTGTGCCTTTGTGTCCTTGTTCTTTTTGGGGGTGGCGACGCTCATACGCTTTTTGCTTCAACCCACCCCTTTTGTGCAGTATTAAAACTGTTCAAATAAATAAATAGATGGTCAATAAATAAAATAACGAGTCGGAGAGCTAAACCACACACTTGTTCCAATTGTGCTGAAATGAGCCTGCCCATACCAGAGTAAAAGCTTTGCTGAACATTCTCTCAAAGTTGTGGTTTCTAGTCACCATTAATGCTACTTACTTCAAGAGGCAGACTGAAGTATTTGACAACACGTGAGAGGGGCGACAGTAAGTGCTTTTAGACACAGAGGAGAGCATATGGCCATTGATGCATTAGGAGCCAGCCTGTCGAAGATCTGTGCTTTCTCCTAGACACCACTAGTATTGATTTGTATGACCATTTAATTTAGGGCACTTTGACTTAGGCCTGAGAGAGATGTGAGAACAGGCTCTGCCTTATATTCAGCTGATAATGCTATAATCATGTTTGATTAAAAATGGATGAGCTTCGAAAAGGTACCATTGGATTTCTGGAGTTTGCCTATTATTAGAGGAATGACTGGTCAAACAAAAAGAAACATGATAATCAACAAAGTGGAACAGAAAGATCTTGGATTTGAGTTCCTACAGTGTGTGTGTGTGTGAATTTTGAGAAATGTTAAATAGTTACAATAATATTTGCACAGACATCCGAATATCATTATAG